CGACTTCGACGGCAGTTCTATATAGATTGGGGCGTAAACTGATGTTCGTGCTCGCAATGGATATCAGGAGCATTTGTACGAAATATTGCTTGACAAGGTCAAAACCGCCAGAGATCTCTAACAACTGAAAAATTTCCGTAGATGTTTGAAGTAGCAATCGAAGGAATGCAAAGTCGATAGTCAGTGACGACATACAACTTCATCACCACGCTGCGCTCACAGAATGGATTGAGGGAAAGTGAATTGGATGATGACTTTAGCCCGCATATTCTCCAGGTTTAAATTCGGGTCATTTCCATTGAAAGAAAGCAAAAGGCGGCATAGCGTATACCACTGCAGAGCCCCTCAAAGAAGCCATCAATAACGGCATAAGGTATGGAAATGCAAATGGCTCGTACGCAGCTGCTAAGAAGTTTTCCAGAACACTGGCATCAACGTGTGAACAAATGCAGACTACGTCTAACATAAATCAGAGTATCGTCGTTCTACTTTATATACTTTGAAAGATCCTCAAGCTTTTCGAACCGCTAATTACCTCCAGATAATTTAATATAATCTGTGTGGATACTCTCGGATGCCCGCGTATTTTTGAAAAACTACTTTTAGAAATCCTGTCGAGCTGCGTGAGATACCTGCGAAACAATGGATGAGAAGTAAGCAAATGGGCGCCTGGAATGGCGTTTTATTTGTTATAGAATTACTTGTCCAAACGCAGGCTTTTTTTACGGCCGGCCGATGACGATTGGAATATTAATGCTAACATTAGTAGTACAATATCAATAGCATTTCTTGAAAGAACCAATAATGCCACAAAAACGAAGTAGGTCAAGGGATTTGTATAGGTAAAGAAAACTGGAGATTTTATCTTAGCCGACGTAAAGCACAGGCAGATTTAGTTTGTCTAGCGATAAAAGTCGAGGTGAGAGAATATGTTGTCGAATTCGACTTGAGATCTTTATGGACTTGTACTTGAATGGGGGTAACGTTCTGAGTCGACCGCCTTCTGGCACTTCGACTGAGTAAGCCCTACGGTCTCTAGACTGAACTTTCCCACTGAATAAAACAGAAATCGTACTGCTAACTAGCGTATCGGACAGCTGAACGATAGCCGAGTATCATGGTATCAAAGGGAGACTCTGTTTCCTTTTGTCGTATATTTACAACTGAGATCGGTCTCCGGGAATCTGCAATGCTTACTTTCAATTTACAGACCGGGTATTTCGTCTGTTTATCCAGTAGCCTCGATAAAAACCCCACTACCGACAGCAAATAACCAGTCGCTGTCGAGTGAACACTGAATCATGAAGCATAGTGAAGCACGAGGCAAGGAAAACCACCGTTTATTTAATTCAGATGTGATTTGTACAATATATATGGGATCGCAATTAAAGTATCCTGTAGTCTATACGCATGTTGACGAATGCACTCTGCATTATACGATGACTGATGCTCGGCGAGGTGGTGAAGCTCAGTCAACGAAGCATCTTCTCTAACGTTCGCCAATATTCATTTAATATTTAAAAGTGAAATTCTGTTACTTAACTTAGTAGACTGACCATTTTAGCAAACAAGTTACCGTCTGGAAAATACTGCTGCGATGAAAAAAGATACGCGCATGTATGGAACAGAGTCTGTTCTATTATTGAATACCCGACGATTTAAATTTGAATACCGATATTTGCAGATATATTTTCCTTAGATATCAAACGTCTATTATGATTAACTAAACGCGGCGAAAAAATTGGCTATTTTAGAGTTCTGGGCATGAGAACAGTTCTAACTAGGAAAGAGTCCACAGACGAAGTTCGTTTCAGCACAGGTACTCTTAAGGCCTTTAGCCATAACGAAACGTTCATTTTCAGGCAGGATATACTATCGGATGTGTAAGAAACAAAGCACGTTCTCTTCGATGCGCGACAACCTCCGTCGAGGCCTTTGCAAGCGTGGCAGAATTTCTCGCAAGGCTTGAGTTTTAAAGCTTCTTACGTATCGTTAATATATGCATAGTGAGCACGCTACTTATTACTATTATTTCAAATTTGATGGGCAAGTGAATTCGACAGTCTATTTTATGCATCTAGCGAAAATTATGTAAATGTTTGTAATGTACTACGGCAAAGACCGTAACCTAACGACCAGGCTATCACAAAAATCAATGGGGGAATCGGCGCCAAAATAGAAAGCTTTTCTATTCGTTTTCAATGCCAGTTGAACCATATCAGAAAGTTTATTTATTTTTTTTTTAAATAGTCACTTTTATTTCGCTAAAATGAAAATCGCCTACGTGTGAAGGCTTTCAGTGCCGAATGGAGCGCGGCTTGTTGTCACGATGATCGATTCTCTACACATTATTATCTACGATGTATTAGAATAGCATATACTGTGTACTTTCTCTTCAGGGGAATGACCGAAACAGACACAGATGATTAGCATTGTACTGATATGAAGGATAAGAGGTAAAAACAGAATTCGGGCAAATTGGCACCTGTTATTATTATATGGAACTTATCGGCACTTTTTTGCGAACCGTGCACACCAGAATGTTACTTACTATCTTTCTACAGAACAACATTTACAACGCAGTATAACGCAGAGTTCTTCTCGTTTTGATTGTTGTTATTACTACGTAAGTGTACCGAGGTGCAGCATAATTCCACCGGTGTGAAACTGTTAACTAGTACTCATCAATAATCGATAAAACCCGCACAAATTTTAAATAGCATATATGTGACTCGAAAGGCCAATTTTCGTATCTACGTGTGGCTCAACCTCACCTCTGACTGACTGAGAGCCCAACTGGTTTATTCCTAATGGCATCGTCAATAATTCAAATCGTTTTAGTAAGCGATCGTATGCCTGTGATTCTACTAAACAAGCTATTACTACAGATCCCGCAATCGAACCGAGGGTCGGCCATGCTACAACTAATAGAGACGGCTATAATAAAACCGTGGCGAATACATTATAACAGCTATCTCTAACGAGTACCACGCTAGCTTACGTCGGCTATGCTAAATTGGGTCACAGGTCCACTAAAGAAATCGGGTACCACTGTTTGACGGTTACATAGTGAAGGCTCCTTTGTACTGCTATTTCCCTCGAACTTTGTAGATGTTCTCACTTTCAGACTTAACCATTTAGAATTACTTGCCAGTATTTAGACTGGATACAAGAGGCAAGGGGCGTTCGGGCGATTCTAAATATGCCCACGGACAAATGAAGTACTTTAACATACATATAACGCCACTGTAACCTGTTTCGTTCTTCCTCTTCAAACGCCAAACCGGTGTATAGAATAGCATCTTGACGAGCTTTTGAGATAACATATACATACATGATTTATTCGTTAACTTGTGACGAGACTTGCCGTACCGTGCAAATCAGTATGATAATCCTTATTCAGTTTTGCTGTTTTGGTGGTTACTGCTTCTGCCGCCAGCAACGTCAGGTCTGATCAAATATACTTCGTCATTCGTAGCTGGCCAACTATTGCAGAACGATACGCATCGAATCGCTGATCGCCGCACCTCGCCGGTCGGGTCGCCTTCGACGAACGCAAACTTTGATGACACTCTTCAATAACAAGCGATGCAACGACAACATCAGACCGTGATAATGGTGCTGTACCAGACATGGTACTGCCAGCGAGGTAATCTCATTCGCTGCAGCGATCTCAGACATGCACACTCGTTTCGGTGTGCTATAAGGTAACCGTTTCCTTCTCAGCTCAGTCTTAGCGTTAGCGTTAGATGGAAGTAATTCTTCTTGCGCCGATACGTCGGTCACCTACCGTCAGATCTGTCATAGCATCTGTCATCCGCACGAAGAGACACCAAGAGAATGAGAGCCAGCAGTTGCTCGGTCTGTGGCAGCGTAACACGTATCCCCATTAATATATAGTAAACACACAGTAGTCAGCTGGCGAATTTACGAGAAAACTGAATGGCGTGGCTATTAGAAGACAGCTAGAGGCCAAGAGTCAGCCGAAAGACAGAAAAGAGCAATACGTACGTAAAAAGCACGCTTTGAAATTAGCATAGGACAAATTAAATATGCGAAGAGCGGTCAAAGCTTGTTTTACCGGATAACATCGAAGAACGTTAAGGCACCTAATCTGTGGTAACGAAGACGGTGGCATTTCTAATCGAATATTCCACAACGACAAAGTATTTCATCTTGTTATTTTATCTGTTGATTTCTTATTAAATACACTTAGATTTGATTTGTTATCAAACATTAGATACATAAACGACCAAGGACTAAAATTCTGAGGTTATCATTATTTGTATATCGTGTTAATTGAAGTTTATCTCGTTTACTTCTAGACCCGGTTGGTTTCTGTATTTGAAGTAAAAGCGTGAATAGCCCATTTGCCATGTAGCTAATGGTAACGTATCATACATTAAATACAGAAGAGTTTCAACAATACTTGTGGCATCAACAGGTTTGACAAGTAACACAAAACTGTCAAAAAAGTATATACAGCTGATATAGAATAATCTATGCGCCCCGCAATGCATAAGTATTTGACTGAGGGTCATTGTTGTCTTCATGGTGACATAGAAACGTCATTACCTATTTTGTAGGTTAGCATCAATTCCAACATTTACCTGCAACATTTTTTGGGATCTAGCGCATCACAATAAATGGACCCTTTGCCCATAGACACAAGTAACATGACCAAATAATCTCAACATAAATTATATAACCGTGATAGACAGATGAATACGTGCACCCACATGCGCACAGTGGCCAATCTAGCAACCGTTATGAATAATATGCCTACCCAGAAGCGTTCAAATACCGCCCCTCTGTCAATCTCTAATAAGACAGTTAATCTAATCCATCTGTTCTCCACAGGGGGGTATCACAAGATTTCTTTATTTTCAGAAAAATTAGTTTCGTATATGGCTACTTTCATAAAACATCACACGATTCTAATGGCTATGTAACTGTCGAGTATAAAATTGAATCCTGTATGTATACACTTGGGAACTCACTTGAAAATCCGGTTGCTCGGGGTCCGTATCCGTAGTTGAGCACCTTCTTTCCGTAAAACAATCCAAATTGTACGGTTCCATGAAATTTATCATTGTCTACCGGGTGAACACCTTCCTGTTCTAAAAACACCGAGTCGATAGTGGTGTCCCGCACCATACGAACTTTGGCCACGAGCCAGTTGTGGGTTAGCAACGACGCCGAGAGTAGACAAATAGCCAGGCACGAGATTAGGAATGTCAAGAAAGTGAGAAAACGGGCCCGGGCGTCCATTTTGCTGTTTAAGCCACTTGTGGGTCGTGGGCGGCAGCTTCGTCAATGCTATGCAAGATGGGGACTATAATAGGTATCAGTGTGCCCCCAAACGTCTGGCGGAGGGTTAAGCCTCAAGCAATATGAGCTTATTAATGCTCTTGCCTTGTTGGTTCTACCATTCAAAGGCCTTATTTAACAATAGATTATCCTCAGATTTCACACGAGGCTTCAGGGACCCTTGCACTGGGGCACCACTCTGGTGGCAACAATTCGATACGAAGTCCAGCACATCGAAGGACTGGTAAGCAGAAATAATGTTGGAGCTCTGCAGAGTGAATTTCTACACAAGAAGTCTCTATATATCCGCTAGGTATTATTTTGTAGGCTTATAGCAGGCATGTACTCACGAGAGCTAAGAACCAGAAAAGAGACACCACGCTTCTTTGCAGGATATGGGGCAATCGTTTGTTAACGATTGCCCATCTCACACACAATAAACATGACAACTGAGGATTATGACAGCTCCTCTTTTTCTGACTCTCTTATCTTCCACAACTTTACACCTACTATTCATTTCAATCTATGTAGCACGACGTGATGTACAGCAGCTCCAAAGTGTTCTTCTCCACTTGTACCAATAAGCATCGTTAACTTGCAAGCGCCCACATTACGCTGAAACGTTAACCGGTCCTCTTAACAACTTTCAGCTACACTCACATCAACTTGTACCTTTCATACTTTGTTGGTGTTTCCCTCGTTCGAAATCCTAATAATTCGGTCTTCTTCTATGCAGAAATACTATTAGGCGCAATAAAAAAACGAACGGTAAGGAGACACATATACACGAACTTTGTAACAGCAACACCAGGTACGGTGGTTTTCGTCATGTCAGTGGCTGTCACAGTGGCGGGAACGCTACCCGGGTCAGCATCTGGCTTCAGTAGCCTTCAGCCGACTTTAGTTCGTTTGCAGAACTGCACTTATTTCGCTCACTGACGGGGTTGCTGACGATAGTGGCCAGTGCGCCGTTGGCGATGGCCCATTCTGTCGGCGAGGAAGCGCCGTCGTTGCTAAGCAACACAGCGACCGTAGACATAGCTGAGCTAGTAGGAAAGGAGGATATGAAGCTGGGGGGAACCTTGGCTGAAGAACAACGACTGACGGCTGAGTCGAAGTCAGAACGCTGTCCAGATGGGCTCGACAAGTGCAGCAACTCTGTGGTTTGTCGTTCTTCGCTATGCGTGTCAGGGCTTTGTCCTAAAAGTCTAAGGCACACATAATAGTTCTAATTTTGATAATACCATACTGTCCATACAATATTAAAGAATTAAACATAAGAGAGTATTTCGAGAGTTTAAAAATGTCAACCCGTGCACATAGTAAATAAATTGCTTGAAAAACTAATGAATACCTTATAATATCTAATCTATTCTAAACTTCGCCTTAGCGAAGTTATTAATGTAACGATCATTACTATAAAAGTGTCCGGAACAAACCTACACCAATAACATATTAAATACATTTAATTAGATTAAATAAATTAAAATATATTTAATTGGAGTAAAATTTATTACTTTAATTTGAAAATAAAATATGTGGTCGTTAACGCAGACAGCACTGGGGATTTTTATAATTATACATCAACTCCTTTCGGAAATAAATTATCAGTTTCAAGATCCAAGGATTTAGTAATATTGTGTAATAATAAAAATAGAAGAAGAACGCTTTGAGCCCTTAGCCGACAACTATCGTAGTTCTCAATATAAGGTAAGCTCTGAGTATCTTACTTCACGTTTACGAGCCAGAAGACCCTGGACCCGTTCCAATCAGTTTCCATAAATCAGGTAATTTTAAATTTTGCCGCGGCTTCCAACTCAACTACTATATATGTCATAAGGAATCGATGAAATCTATTTATATTTGGCGCAACACTTCAGTACGGACGTAGCTAAAGTAAAATTCGGAAAAAGCACAGGTTCTGTAGATTTTGAGGAAGATGCATCACTTCATTCTCCTGTATCCTGCGTTTATTGCTTAGGTGCAGAGTTGCACGCTTTCGAAAAAAAAAAAACAGATGAAGTACATTTTAGCTGGCTGTATAACTCTCTGCGTTGCTGGCTTCATTTGTTGTTATGTCTAGTAGAAGGGTTTTTAAGCCAAAAATGTAGGACACGGCAAAACGAACATGCATAGATCCTGTTAATTGGTACCAACGTATTTACCGAAGAAGATTTATCTTTTGATTACTGTATATGATGGGCTTACATGAAAGCATGTAGAAGCTGATCAATTTGTCGTGCTCTAATTGATGTTGATAGTCCAAATCCATTAATGGGTAGTACCTTTCAAGCTCTGTATTAACAAAAAGATGCCACAACGAATAACGCGAAAGGCGATCCATCATAGTAGACAACCTTTTTTGAAACGAAGTACCCCTTAAAGGACGATCTTTCATTCTGAGAATATTTGACCATCACTTACATTTGTCGCAGTGCCAACATTTGCCGCACAGGTTATGGTTGACTGTGTATTTTTATTTTTAGTTGCTGTTTTGTTTATATTTGAATAGAAATCTATTTTATATACAGAGGTTGAACGAAACGATTCAAGCAGAATCCACGTAATAATAATTAAGCTGTCGATTCCTCGAAAAAAAGATCTCTTCCTCTAGAATCCATACAGCCACCTAGGTTTCCTCCACTTCTAATGATTTTGTTTACAGCCTGCTATGTTTTCGAACTTTTATTACTATAGAACTTTTTATTTGAAGTTAGTTGAATACAAAGTGCTCGACTATCGTATCTAAATTGAATTAACTTGAACAGTGTCGCTAGTCAAATATCGACCGTTTTAATTAATCGGATTTGCATTAGTTTGTGCGCCTTATTAATGTTCTATATATGAAAATTGTGTTCCAAAATATCCGGGATCTCTCTTCCTCATTTTCCCTCCATCTCATGTATATAACTTCGCTTCTGTGAAGCTTACGTTCAGCTTCAGTGCTTACTTAAATTCAAACGTGTACCGTACAGCTACATCAAAGGGAACAACAATACTAGTTCCGCAGAAAACATCACAGATTCCAATTGATCGTATTATGATAAATTCTTATAGATCCTGCAAATTTGCGCTTTACCGGTTACCCTATTATATCGTGGCTATTCAGTCGCGGCCAATCATCACGAGCTACGAAATACTTCAGCCATACATTGCTACCATCATCTGAAGCTTCGTTTGTTCTAGTTTACATTGCGTTCCTACTTGAATGTTTGGTAGGTAAGGTAGAACATGAACGGAACGAACCTTCAGAAAAGTTGTTCCTCATCGGTAACAGTCGTTAGATGGCTTCGTAAAATTAGCGACGCTCCCTAATAAACCGCACGCGCTTAAGGCACAGTTCTAACGTCTGCTACTTTTACCATTACTAGAATAACCATAAACATGTCACCAGACTCGCTGCTACATAAAGTTCCTGTCTTTCTGAGGTACATGATATGTTGCTGATGCAGTCGGCACCGCTACCGATAACAGCGATATTCTCAGAATAAGGTGTTTCTGGCATTAAAGACGAGACTGTTAGTTTCCCTTTCGTTATTTTGCCTAAGATAACCCGATTAGTTGGAGAGTGGTAACTTCGTCCCTTGAGAGAGGAAAATTACTATCTTCTAAGAATACCCATAGTGGTACCACAGAGCTCTGTTTTGCCCTCATCATTTACCAGCCACGTAACTTCTATTCTCTTTGACTTACTTTCACTAATAATACTCCTGCCTGAATTCAAATATCAGTATTGTATCAAAAATTCGTCCGCGTCCTAGCTGCCAACTAGATTACGCCCTTTGCCCTCATAACATTCCTATGCTGCTGTTTCGGACAAGTGCGACTGCGTGTATAACGCCAAAGCTGTACCAGTGGTTCTGAAGATATGTTCTTTTTCCTCTTGCAGCAAAAAAAGCAACGTCAGGGGCTACGCCATATCGCCGGGCATGAGCCATAGCGAAGCTTGCAGGCCTTAGGACAGAACTGGAGATAGTGGTGATAGCAAAAATGGTGACGCTGTCGGCCAGAGGCGACAGCAGCGCTTCAGCCCTTTTAGACTCGTAAGCCTAAAAACCGTAAATATAATCAGCCTGTTCGACCAGCTGGAACGGCGATAGTGGCAGGTGCAACAGCGGTAGTCTGCGATGGACCTTTCGCGCTTCGAATTCTCCATAAAAGCAGGTTTTAAGGCGCCAGTCCGCCCTGCCGTTGTTTTGGTCTCAGAGAAAGGTGCGCGTACCTAGGGAACGACAGGCTAGTAGAACGGGCCCGTGCGAAAGACCGCGTAAGCGCAATGCGTACATGGATGCGTGTCCGTCGTAGAGAAGAGGGCCTAAATTTTGCAACGCTGCAAACGACGCTGGAACGAACAGAATGAGAGCCGGCAAGACGAAGGACCGAAAAACGTTAACTAGCTTGCCGCGCGCGGCCGCCGCCAAATTGTAAGGCAGTAAAAAAAAAACAGGAGGACAAAGCATACGAGGAAACCCTAGGCAGCGCAAATCGGCAGCAGGAAATTGATCCAGAAGCAACAGGACCAATGGCATGACCAGCGCGTGCAACTGAAATGACAGACGAACTGGCCGTCAGTCATTGTAGACCTGCCTTAAAGAAGAAACAAAAAAGGACGACCTCATGGAATAAAAGCACAAAGGCATATAGAGACAGAAGATTCAATTATGCGATTGCATTATACATCATCATATCTCAAAGGCTGGCAGAGAAATGGTAAGTAGGCGCCGGTGCCTATGAAAGTTGAAGAAGGTTTGATGCTAAATGAGGCAAGGAAAAACGGGCTAGGTGAATCAGGAAGCTCAGACCCCGAGGGGCTCCGTAATTTAGCTCTCATCTCTAGACGTTTTCGTTCGAGTTGAAGCCTGTTAGTAGATGATGCCAGTGGGCAATGTGAGCGAAATGCCACTAATGCGTATGATATGCATAAATGTCTTACTAGTTAGCTAGGATGATATTATGGTAAAAGCGCCACATTTATCTTGATTTATTTGTTGATGTCTTTCAAAGCACGTTTTTAGTTAGGCCTGTTTATATGATATACCACATATGAAAATAGCTTTTCTTCTACACCATATCTATTACGCCAATGCCCATATGAATATGATTAGATCAACGTCGTGTAAAAAATATCAATATAGATTAACAAAAACTTTGACGAGTTTCCCTAGCGCTAAGACATCCGCGTACCGTCTCTAAAACAGTGACTTTATTCAAAGTGTTCTACATGTGTTCTACATGTTGCACAGCTGTACGCTTAAGCGAAAAATCAAAAGTAGCAGTCGCTTGTACAAACTAGCAACCATATTCTACATCAACCGTAGTAAAAGTTAGATAAATATAATCAAAACAATATACACGAACAGTAGGTTCAGTACTCGTAAATCAATCAGCTAGCTAAGTGCTACCGGCGTAACCGTACTAGAAATAGAATATATCTATCATTTAATAGCGTCGAAAGATGACGTACGTATACGTATAGAGTTCGATTATTTTTTCAATGTAGCTGCTAACACTTTCTCTACGTTTTTCTGTCAGTAAGCGAAAAACCCATACGTCATATCGTTGGCTAAATATGACACTTTCAATACTGCACCTATGTATATATGTTATCGTTCTACTATAAATCTTGAGATTGTTTCTTTTCATGTCTAAACGATTAGTATATAGCTTCGATCCGACTAGAAAATGTCAACGACAAGTAAACAGATGTACAACAATGTAGATAGGCTACATGTTAGTATTCGCTTCGTTATTCGCGCAGGCTTTGTCCTTATTTCTCACCTGTACGTTTAACGCGTTCCTAGATAACGGCAAGGGACATTTTGACTAGATGTAAGTTGTTCTGCAACGTGTCGTACCTCTACAATATCGCTGTACATCATTTAACGTACCACAATCAGTCTCACATCTAAAAAGTAACAGGGTTCATAAATTTCGTTAAGCGAGTTCCTTATTCTTAATTGATTCTGTGTTCCGCGTTAGATAGGCATACGCGAGAATATGCATCTCGTAGAAGTCGGGTAATTGTTTGTTCGGTTGAAGATTCGGTTTACTAAGTACAAATAGGCGTAGGATGCCATTTGTCGTTCTGCAAGAGCGAGTGTTTTGGGATTTCTGA